TTGCACTTTTCGGACCTTGGAAAATTTGGCAAACCTGAACTGAGCAGATAGAGTGCCCCAGCTACTATTGCATCTGCTGCTCATGAGTATAGTTCTGAGATTCCCAGGACTGGCAGGCACTCCTCTTACACAGAAGACGTCATGAGCAAATAACCCACCTTTGGACTCGCCATGCTTGCACAAGGCTCAGACAGGTCAGAGAGGTGGTTAATTAAAACATGCTCCGAATTCAAGATGTGTCACTGACAAAAGAACCGTGCTGTTTGCGTTACCCTCAGAACCCAGGGTAGCAGTCTCAGATCTGCCCTCTTCTTTCTGCCTGTTGTCACTATGTGACATGGTGGCATCTGAAACTGGCTCCGTTTGAGAGGAATTCTTCCCCTGGCTCTGGCAAGGAGTTTGGTCCCTGTGTTTCTTTGGGGGGTCCTAGGAAAATACTCTGGTTTCCCAAGTGATGCATTTTGGGGACTGGCAGTGACTTGGCTGATGTCAAGAAACCACTTTTCCTGGAGAAGTCTGAGTAGAACAGGACCAGTTCTCCAGCAATGGGAGGAGGAAGAGCTACAGCTCCTCAGCTCTAATGGCACCATCTTGAAGAGCCACCCCAGCAGAAGGGTGAGTTGGGCAGTGATGTATTGAGAGGATTTAAAAGGAGAACGGAGAGGATGAACTAGTACCAAAATCTTTCATTCCAGCTCCCCTTGGGCTTTTCACAGCCTCGGAGAGAAGGTACACAGGGGCTCAATCCAGCTGCGGTTCCCTGGATATTCAGCACATAAATAGGGCCATCTGCTTGTGTGAACCACCACCAGTGAGCACAGGGGTAGCAGCAGAAAGCAGAGTAATTTTTGCTTGTTTTTTAAGTAGATGTTTCAAATAAAATTAGTTTTTAGCTATAGCTAAATAATTTTACATTTTTTTGAACTGATTTTTTTTTTTCTCATTTTCTATTGCTCCCTGACTGTTTGAGTGCCTCTGTCCTGTTACCAGCTCCAGGACCAGTGTGTGTGGTCCATTACACCAGTGTGTATGGCTGTGTATGCAAGCAGCCGTGTTTCGGTGTGGTGGAGCTAACCCAGCGATAATTCACCCTTCAGAAGTGGGGGCTGATGTGAAAACAATTTACCCACTGGTGTATCCAAACAAGGGTAAGGATACACCAGCTTCTTAAGGAACTTAAGAAACAAAACTACACATCTATGAACAAAAATGGATGGGAAAGGAGGATATGTGCTGTTTCTGGCATCTGTATCATTAGGACCAGAAATAGCTACTTCAGTTTGCTATTTAATAAAACACCAGGTTTATAGGGAAAAAAAAAATATTGTAAAGAAGAATTACATGGTAAAAGAAGATAATCCAACAAGAATAATTTTATTTAATCTCATTGTAATTTTATTGGGGTAGAACCTGGAATTTAATGACAGAAAATTATTAAACTCATTCACCTGTTAAGTAGCACATATATTATTTATCCCTTTCAGTATTAAAATATAAAAGTTTTAAATCTGAATAAATATATATAAACTATATAATTGTTAAAATAAATGTATAAAAATAGATGTATTATATGAATTCATAAATGCAGTTCACTTAGAAGTATAAAATCAGTCTACTGGCAACTTTTGAGATAAAATTGCAAGATAAAAATATAAATAACATTAAAATGACTGCAGGCATGCTTTTCTGTTTGTTCATGTTGTATTGGTTAATTAAATCACCCTGACTTACATTACTCCATCCTTTTCCTATGCTGTTGCAAATAAAACAGTATAAATAGTTCTATAATAAATAAGATCAATAACTGAAGACATTTATCCTTTACATATTAAACTAAACTAGATTATAGAGTTAAAATATGTAGAATAGCAAATACATGATCATTGTTGCTCCTGGCAGCAAACTGATCACATCACTACTGCTAGGTCACATTTAGCCAGGTTTCCTCATCGTGGTATATTACATTTCTGCTGAAGAGTACATTTTGGTTGTGTTCTGCATAAACTGTTCATATCTCTCTAAAACCCGCCAGATGTACATCTTCTTGTCTGCTGTTTTCATCCTCTGGACCTGGCTACGATCCATCTGTGGAAGGTCCTGGTTCTGGCAGGTGTAAAGGGCAGCTCGTTCACTCAGTGTCACGTTCAGCTGGCGGATGTTTGCATTGATGAACCGAGTTAACTTCTTACCGCAGATGAATTCTATGTCACTTCTCAGGACTTGCAAAATGTTGTAAAAGACATGGAAAAAGCAGCAATCTGCATCAAAAGCTGGGCACGAGGGTATCTTCTGCACCATGTCTTTGGCTTGGGAGGCAGCAGAGAGCCAGCCTGCAGTTTGAGGTGTCACAGGGCTACACGTATTCTGTAGGGGAGGAAAAGGAGAGACATTATTAATCTTTAGGTTTGCATCTTTCCTGGTAATCGCTTTGTGTTTGAGTGTCTGGGCACATCACACCTATTTTTCAGTTCGTGCATGCTTGGGTTTCTTTGTTGTTGTTCAATGGCTGTATTAACACCTACGCTCCTTTTATCGAGTAGGTATTGCACACTATCTGTGTGCAGCACTTTCTGTCTTAATACCCTGCTTGGCTTTGTTTTTTTTCCTTTGCCATATGGGCAAAATCTACTCACGCAAAGATGTGCTTGGGCCTGAGCGTATTTTCATCATTTTCAGCAGAGGTGGTTTTGATTTCAAGAATGAATTTGGGGGAAATGTTTTATGTTGATTTGTATCAACATGTTCCCAGGAATTGAGATCTGTCTGAAGCATTGACACTTGGGTTCAGTGCACATTGTACCATCGCCAAGCAGGACTTTCGGGAGAAGCGCTCCTGACTGCTCTAGTACTCGAATCAGACCCAAGAGCGAAGCAATTCTCTCCATGTTTCCAGTGATCACCTCAAAACGGATGCCTGCTTCAAGCCCAACATAACTCAGGAAGCCAAGAAGGAGCAATGCTCTTCATCTGGAAGTTCAAATCTAGCAGTTAGCTGAGGCAAAGTTGCTCAAACTTTCCCCAGCTGTTCTAGACATTGCTCCAACTCTGCCCTAAAATACTTCAATGTAAATGCCTTCTTTTGTGTATGGAATACACAGAAGAGACTATTTTAGGTTCTAACGCAAATGTTTCTCTTCTGATGATCTTTCTAGTATTTTATAGTAATTCAAGAGATTTCTGCACAAAGAAAGACACAGCAAATGCAAAATAGTACACTTACGTAGTTCTTAAACAAGGCAGTTGCTTGCCTTTCTATCACCCATGCTAAGGGCTTTATTTGGGTAGTAAAATGCTTCTGCATCTGTCCTGTAGTAATTTTGCTTCCTTCTGAGATGGCTGTTGGTGCCAAGGCGCCCAAAGGAACCAATGAACAGAAGAGGAAGATTGCAAACCTGTTGGTCTCTTCATTCGAATAAAGAAGGGAGGGAAGACAAGAAAAGAACACAATGATCAGTCTCAAGCCTCTACATCATTTTTGCAAAGCTTCCTGCTTTTGTGCAGCGCACTGAATGCCTAAAGGTATCGACAGGAAGTGGCTGAGCTAATGATGAACACCAACCAGTCCAACGTTACAACAAGTAGCAAGGTTAAATGGTACCCACCTGTTCGGTGTTTCATGGTGGGTTGGACTGCAGGTGACTTGGCCGAAGGCTGGCTGGACGCTGGCGTTCGAGCTGTTTGTTGCCTGCAGTGCTGTGGATGTGACCTCCCAATCTGTGTTTAAGTACCCTGGAGGTTTGCGTCAGTGGCTCCACCATGGGTTTTTTTTTCTTCGCGGGTGATAGTTTGGGGTTTTTTCTTTTTTGATAGATTGCATCAAAACTTGCTTCAAATGAGTCTTTGCTGATTGTGATCTAGATGCAGTTTCAAACTGACAATGGTTGGTGTCCTGTATCATCTCTCTGGTTAGGACTTCAGGATGCTTGGCTTAGCCATCCCATCTAAACCTTTGGGCTCTCCAAAATGGAGTTAGAACATAAACTCAGATGTTGTTTTTAAGAGCATGGTTGGAGCACATTATTGGTGCCCAAAGTCAGAATCCTTCTCCTGCAGGGTCAGCATAAGAGTGGGCTAATGTGAGGAGTGAAAAAGCCATGAGGGACTTTTGTGCAAGGCATGGTCAGGCCTCCAGGTCACCATGGAAATCCTTTTGCTGGATGTCTGTGAGGCCTCCTCACATAACCTAGCAGAGGATGTCCAGGATCCCACCTCCCCATCTCTGTCACCCATCTCTCCAACTCCCCCGAGGTGATTTTCCTTCTCCAGCTACTAAATGCAGGAAATTCTCATACACACCAGAACAGAGGGAAGTTGTTCCTAGGATTTAAGTACGAGGCTGTGATCAGAAGAGGTCCTGTAGAAATACTGATAGTTTAGGACGCACAGGAGGGCAGAGGAAACACGTATGAACATACCTTTGTGAAAATTTGACACATACACGCTTGTACTTCCCACCTCTGTCATAAAAGGTATCTGAAGATACCTTCTGAAATCTGTTGAAAAGTTGCCTGAAAATAGGCATAGATTCAAAGATGAATAAGAGAGAAAGATGTTTCTTTGTGCAGGGTGTGTAGGAACATCTCTATGAAGACAGTGATGGGTACAGATGGCTCCTTTCACGTAGAAGGATGATCTTGGAGGGTTGCTTGTTTGGAAGCACCAAAAAAGCAGAGTTGTAACCTGTGTGGAAGATAAGTTGTAAAATGCATTGTAGGATGTGCAGAAGGTGCATGAGCTTTCACACACAAGAAACCACTGTACATTGGACACTGCCAGTCCCCTTCCAGCTGCCTCAGACGGGCACAACCAGGGAGGACCAGATAAGGAGTCACAGCCATTCTTCTTCCAAGAGGAGGAGACATCTCCATGCAGCACCAACGCCAGTGAGGCCCAGTTATTTGTAACAGTGATACAAGAGCTTGGCTTTTGCACAAAACACAATTCACTGCTGATGCTTCTTCAAAGATCTATAGAAGATTTGGCTTCATTTTCTACTGAGTCAAGGATGGCCATTTGCGGGGCTGTTCCACCTCATGGCATGTTACTATCCCTGCACATCATTTCCTATCAGTACACAGCTCTGATAAGCTGCTGAGCTGATAAGGGAGCAGATTGGCATCTCTCCGTGAAACCCAACCCCAGTGGAAGTTCAGCTTTCCATCACGTAACCACCAGATGCCACAGAGCATCTGCAATTCATCTGTTGAAATTTTGCTGATACAGGCTGCTCTGTAGGCTCCCTAAACTGGAATTTGTAGTCATTGCCTCAACAATTATCACTGCAAAAAACAGACCTCAGAGTGCAGAGACCTGAATCTGACCTGGGACAGAGCTGTGGCTTTTGCTCCTGGGGCTCACCTTCTTTTTCCTAGCGTAGGAGCTGGTATTTTTAGCTGTGAACCTGGTTTTCTGATGGCCTTGTGCTGCTGTGGTGATGGTGGTGCCCTCCACATGAGTGAACAGCGGCATTTTTACAGCTAACTGAGAACCTGGCTGCTTCCTCCCCTAAACCTGAGTGACACTCAGGATGTAGTTAAGTGAGGTGGCAAACGCCGTATCACAGGTCCTTGGCCAAGGGACAGGGTTGATGCTGTACCCTGCAATTGCTCCATAAGGCTGGGAGAAACCCCCAGAACCCAAGGGGGGATATCCAGGAAACCAGGGGTTTATTCCCAGTCTGGGGAGCTCAGTGCTGTCCCAGGCTGACTCCACCTGCAGGGCTTGGTCCCTAGGGTGCCCACGTCCCTGCCATCTCCTAGCGACAGGGACTCTTGTCACTGAGCCAGGGGATTCCGTGCTGGGCTGGGGCTGGATGGCAGCACCTGGTCCTTGCAGTGTCTCGGCTGCTCTTCAGGAGCACCTGAGGCACCTGACTCTGCAGGACTTTCCCTGTGGCCTTGGCAGCTGGGTAGGGTCCAGGGGGACACAGCCATGGATGTGGGTTGGTGTCTGTGGTCTGCAGGGCTCTCACTGCCTCTCCTCTCTCCCTCTCTGCAGAACAAGTCCAGATTTGCTGCACGCAGGAGCCCCCATGGAGGCCAGCCAGGGCTGTGGGCAGACCCAGCCAGGCAGGAGGAGGATGTGCCACTGGGTGAGGAGAGCCCCGAGGCACTGATAGAGCTGCTGAAGGACAGACACAGCCCCTGGGCCCTGCCACCGGGCTGCAGCCCCCAGGACCAGCTCCTGCGGGAAGTGGCCGTGCTGGAGCCCAAGCTCATCCATGGCTCCAACGTCTTCCAGGTCCTCAGGTCCCTGCGGCTCGTTGACAAGGGAGTAAGTGCAGCTGCTGCTGCCTGTAAAGCCATCCATCTCCTGGCCAGGAAACCACATCTTCCTGTTGGGAGGGAAAAAGACACCTTCCCCATCCCTGGGACTCCCCAGATGCCACTACTACTGCTGGAGTAGAGCTAGTGCCCCATCCCCAGCGTATTGGACTAATCCATGTTACACGTGTCATGGGGCTCACCACTGCATGTCTGTGTCACCTTGGCCAGGAGGTGGCTCAGGAACATGTTGGCCAAACCCATCTCTTTGCAGGTGGAGGAGGTTGATGCAGGTCTGTTGCAGTTGCAGCAGCTGGAGGAGCTCATCCTCAGTGCCAACCACATCAGTAGGGTAGACTCGGCCAACCTGCCCCAGACTCTGAAGGTGAGCAAGCAATCCCTTGTGATGGCAGGATCAGGAAGGAGTTCCCATCTGGGAACACAATGCAAGCTGAATTGCTCAGAGGAATGTCAGGAACAGCTCATTGCAAAGGGTGTTTCTTGTTCTCTCTGTCCTCGACAGGTTCTGGAGCTCTGCTGCAATGCTGTGGCTGATCTGCAGGACCTGTGTGCTCAGCCTCCTCCGGAGCTTCAGCACTTGGGGCTGGGCTACAACAGGCTGTGCGGATCTTTGCAGGACAAGTGCCTCACTGCAGCCTTCTGGTAATGCCATAGGCTGAATGTGGGCTCCCAAAAGGCCAAAGTGTGGAACAGGGAGATCACCTGAGGAACTGTTTTGACACCCTGCCCACCACAGTTCCCATGTCACTGGGCAGCTTACGCTTTCCATGCCCTTCCCAAAGTGCCTGCTGGCAGTCTGCCCTGGAAAGGATCTAAAGCTTAGGCTGCATCCCCAAATGATGCAGTGGGGTGATTCATGGATGCTAAAGAAACATGGGTTTGAGTTGTGGGGCAGACTGACAATGGACCATATGGCTAAGGAATTTGGTATTGGCCTCTTGAGATTGTACCATTGGATTCCCCAGTTTGACCCAGCTTGTGCTGGGGAAACACAGTTTTTGTTTCTTTTTTTGCCCCAGGATAGCGGCTCTCTGGATGCTCTTTGCCTAACCTTCTTCTCTGGGTTCTCTTCTTAGGCCAAATCTTGTATCCCTTGACCTGAGCTTTAACAACTTAACAGATCTTCTGGGGCTGGTCTCCCAGCTGTCCAGTCTGGAGAAGCTCCGCATCCTGGTGCTGAAAGGGAACCCGCTGGCTCTCATTCCCACTTACAGGGGCTTCCTTGTGGACAGCCTGCCCAAGCTCTCCGTCCTTGATGACATCCATGTAGGGTTTGATGAGAGGCACCAGTTCCTTGGTTTGGCAAGTCAGCCAGGTCAGTCTGCACCCTTTAACTTCTCTATGCTGCCTCCATGTTCTGGGAGGTGGTTTCATCACGGTTGAGCTAAGAGTCCTCAGGGGAAGTGCTGCATCCAGTACTGACTTCCCTTTTGCCTCTCCTCAAATGGATATCTTTCTCTGTGCCTTTTTACCCCACTAGTACAAGTGGGGGGACAGGCAGAGGACCCTGCAGCAGTGTAATTACACTCGAGGCAGTTTTAGCCTTAGTCAGGTGCAAAGGTTGCAAGAACAACCTAGTCCCAGCACCGATTTGGTGCCATGGTCTGTCTCCATCTTTGCTTCCTAGACACTGTCTGGTTTCAGACTGTGTTTTCCTCTCCAGCTGCTGAAAGAGGAACATCGCCCCTGGGGAAGATGCTCACATGGGTGCTGCACTGTCCACAAAAACCAGTGCCACCTCTGCAGCGTGGCACATCCCCGACTGGGATGAGAGCAGGGAGCACCCCGGGGGTAGGAAACCCCTCTTGATGGCCCCTGCTTAACGAGTTTATGTGCTAGATATGTGCTCTTTGGAGTCGGAAGTGTTAACCAGGGAGGCAAGGCGACCAACGCAGGAGATGTTTGTGTGGCTTTGGAGTGACCCCACGTGGCAGTAGCTTGTCACAGCGTTAGCACAGGGTGGCAGGGAGGGATGCCAGGTGGTGGGACATATCCTTGCCTGATTTCCATCGGTGATTTCACCTTGCTGTGTACTGTCTTCACTCTGGAAGGAGCACACTGCAGCTTCATAGCAAGATTGTCTTTCCTTTTAGAGCTGATGAGGAGTGAAGCACGAGTGGTTGTGAGTGTTGGGGACATGAAAGGAGTCCCTGATCCCAGCACTCTTCAGGAGCTGGCAGATGATTCTGACTTCCCAGTGATCACCTACAGCTACTGTGTGACATATGAGTTTGTGGAGGGAGAGGAGTTTGACGATGGCAGCAGCGCTGAGGTTTGTGCTTAATAGGGCACCTGAAAGCAACAGGCAGTGGCAGGTCACAGCAAAGGGGGACTTCACCTCCCAGATGCAGAGCTCTGCTGCCTGGTCCTGATGCAAACACAACTGGACATGCTTCCAGGAGATCCCCCTCTGTTCCAGGTAACAAAAATCCATGAGAGTCTTGAGGGGGCCACCTTGGATGCGGACAGCTCTGCTCAGAACACAGGAGAAACGAACCAGCAGGAGCCTGCAGCCACAGAGGAGCCCAAGGCCAGTTCTAGTAAGGAGGAATTCTAAGTCTCCTGCCTCACTGCTCAGGCTCTTCCCGGCATATGGTGGCATCAGGATGTCCCTTATAGGGGACTGATGGATAATGAATTGGCACTGGTCATGTCCTGGGGGTCCTTCTGTCCTCAGGAAGGAGAGCTCTCTCAGAGGTTTTTTGTGTCCCTGCACAGCAAAGGTGTTTGTCACCCCTGGAAAGCCCTGGGAAGATGCCATTGACTGCAGCTACAGGAAGGAGCATATTGTTAAGGACTTAATGGGGTTGAAGTCCTACCTGGCGGCTGGAACAATTGTCTCTGTTGTGGAGGAGAAGGTGGGTGTGTGGCAGAGCTGGATGAAAGGGGAAGGAGCTGCTGGGAGGCCCAGCAGCGGTGTTGTGTTCTCTCTGGGATGCAGCCTGGGATGCCAGTGACCCTGGGCCAGGGTCCTCGGGTGTCCCAGCCCTAAAGCACCAGCTCCTCTCTCTGGGCAGGTGCTCTCATGGCCTGTTGAAGGTGATCCAGAAGAAAACATAGACAGAAATAAGAAGGCAAGACGGAGGCAGCAGAAGGATGGTGCCAGGGTAGGTGCTGGGAGAGCACGATGCCCAAATAACATCCAAGTTGCAAAAACACTGGGGGGGGAACAAGGACCCTTCTCCTGGATCAGTTTAGTGTATCAGGACCGCCCTTCCATCCCAGATCTCTCACCAAAGTACCCCCTTGCTGTGGGAGGAAGGCAGCAGCAGTTCTACATTTGGTCTGGTTGCAGTGATGGGCAAGGGGCTGGGCTGGGGTTGTTTGCTGTCTGATTAAGGGTCCCCAACCCTTCACTGAGGCTTGTCCCTGTGCCGGTGCCCTGCAGGGTCCTGTGCACAAGGACAAGCAGAAAAAGAAGAAGAAGACATGTGAATTCCGCAGTGACCCTCCCATTCGGAAGACCCTGGCCACCAGGAAGGTGACCCTGGAGGCTCTGCTGGCCACTGAGGACCTGGTGACAGCTCTGTGTGACTTTGGGATCCTGATCACTAAAAAACCGCCGCAGCCACCAAGTGTGGAGAAGGTAAGGAGCGTGTTCTGGGGCGCATGAGGCAGAGCTGCCAGGGATGGGCAGTGCTGCAGGGTGGGAATCAGCATATCCTGGCCTGGGCATCCCTCCCATGCATCCCCCAGTTCTCCTCTCCATAAAATGGGGCTGAAATAGCCCTGCTTGAACACCATCCATTGATGCTGGTATCCTTACTTAGTGTTGATCTTAGCAGTAAGTACTGCTACTTTTTCTGGGCCTAGGAAAATAGGTGAGTTTATTTTTCCACTTGAGAATATGAAAGCAACCCCTCATGCTTCCTCTGACGCTCTCTCAGCATGGCAGCACACACCAACTCACACTTTCTATTTCTTGGATTCTCTTCTCTGAGCATCCCCTCTGCTGTGCTTCTGCTTCCCCTCTCCTCTTTCCTCCGCCCTTTAAATCCCTGTGACTGAACCCAGATGGTGATGGCAGTCACAGGACTGAATGCGGGTAGTGAGTTTCATCACAGCCTAACTATGGAAACGCCTCTCTCCACAGGGCAAGAAGAAAAGCAAAGACAAGAGCAAAACCCCCAAAGCAGAGAGTAAAAGTCAGGCCAAACAGAAAGCTTCAACATCTGCCAAAGGTGACAGAGACGGGGGCTGGCTGGGCAGAGGGTGGTGAGTGTGAGAGCAAACAGCAGCAGTGCCCAGCCCAGAGGCTGGTCCCAGCACCCTGCCAGCTCTGTGAGCAGGGTGCTTACTCACATCCTGACCTCCGGACTGTGAACACATTTATTGACTGTGGGGCTGTAAGGTTTGACACACACCCGCACACGTTGAATCCAAATCTGAGCAACTGTCCTGGAGCAACACACACCTACAGGCTCTGAGTGCCAGGGGAGAAGGGCAAAGCAAATTCTTGGGTGAGAGATGTGGTGCCTGCTGTGTTGGCTGCCAAATGTGGCTGGTGGTGTGGGCTGGCGCGGGCAGCTGGGGCCAGTGCTGTCTGGGATGCATAATGAGGTCCTCATCCATTTCCAACTCACATCTCACAACACTTTGCAGAGGGGATTATTGTTCTTTCTGGTTTAGAGATGAGATGCACAGAGAAGCACCAGGTTGCCCCATGGTGGGGCTCGGAGCAGACCCCAGTCTGCTGTCACCCATGAAAGGACCACCCTGACCCCTGAGGGGTGTCCCCTGCCTCCTCAGTGCAGAGCTCAGCGTCTGCTCAGCCAGCAGCATTGCTTAATCTGTGGAGACAAACCTCACTCTGCCTCTTGCAGGTTATTTTTCCAGCAATCTTGTTTTGACTACAAAAATAGCAGTGCCAGCACATCAGAGGGCTAATGCAAGAGCAGGAGGAAGTGGGGGAGGGCAATGGTGAAAAGCTGCTGATGGGTCAAGGGGAGCATGGAGCTGGTCAGGCCTCCTGTGTCCCCCTCCTCTGGCATCAGATTTAGTTGCTAATTTAAGGGTGAAATTAACCCCTTCCCCAAAGCCCCAGGCTGCTTTTCTGTGCCCTGTTACGCATCTCGGGGGGGCATCTGCAGTCCTAGGCTGTGTCTGTGCTCAACAAAGCCTGATGGGCTCCCCAGCTACCTGAAAAGAAGGTAAAACTCTCTGCGTCATTGTTCCCCATAAGAAAATGTGTATTTGCAGTATATGACAGGGAGCTGCTGTCAAAGAGCTGAAGTTTAGCAATGGTGTTTTCTACTTCCCTTCCACCCCCAGTGCCTGTGGTCAGTGTGCATGCAGGAGGTCTTCAGGTTGTTCCTTCAGCCTGAGTGAGACCAAACCCTTGTGCAGGGGTTGCGAGGCTGGGGGTGGTGTTGGGTGCACAGAAAGCTGCTGTTGACTCAGGAAACCCAGAGTGATTAGAGGCTCATGCTTAATTTGGTGTCCCCTTATGCCTGTGCAGGGGGAGGCTGGCTGCAGCACGGCCACTGAGTACTATTTCAGACAGTGCCTAAAAGCCATCTGCCTCCCCCAGCTTGTGACACCCGGCGCCAGCAGCATCCCACAGTGTGCACTCTGCTGTCACTCGCTATGACACCCCGATTGTGGCTGGGGGGCCCTGGCTGCTCCATGAGTCACCACACTGCACCGTTTGGCACTTGTTCATCACCTGGGTACCATGGACCACCTTGGATCTGTGACCATGGCTACACTTTGGGGCACTGGGGCTGGGTCCCAGCCCTCCATCCACTGTGGCCGCGCATCCAACCAGGCTGCATAAGGACCAGCACTCGCAGCCGGGAGCTGGGGCTGATTTGCATCCCTCAGGCAGTAAATGCACACAAATAATAAGTCCTCTCAGAGGAATTGGGATCCCTTCCAGGCAGCTCAAAGAGGAAAGGCAGCAAGCTTTGTCTCAAGCGAACAATATGCCCGGACATTGAAGCGTGTCTTCGGAAGTAATCTCACGTGGGTCTCATTTTATCCTGTGCTTGATTTTCCAGGATCCTTGAAATGATTTATTTCTGCATCTTATTTCCTAGGAATTATAGTGGAATTTAACAACAAAAAGCAAGATTGCACCCAATCAATTGCCTGCTTAAAGATGCATTTTGGGCTTCTTACGCAAAGCCATATTCAAATAGATTTTCCCCCAAGGCCCAGAAGTCAGTGCAGGGGCATTCCCTGCTGTGCACTGCTGCTTTTAGGGTGATTTACTCAGTCAAGACAATGACAGATTTACATCTTTCCACAGGAAAAATCAAAAAGAAAGGCTCCAGTGTACTGGAGGAGGGTGAAGGGCTGCAGCCAGTGCCACTGACGGTTCAGTTCCAGATGCAGCTGCTTCGGTGGCCCCTGGCAGCCAGTGCTCAGAACCAGGAGAGCGTGGCCACAGCAGTGGGGAGCACTCAGTGATGTGTCAGCAGCGGAAGAGTGAGTGGGAAATAAACCTTGCGGGGACGGCACGTGGAGCCTGGTTTAGCTGAATTGCCAGAGCCGGGAGATACCCACGGGGCTGTGGTTGTCTGTGGTTGTCTGGGGCTGCTGCTGAGCTTCTGCAAGGAAGCTGCAGAGTGCAGGGATGGGTGTGTGGTGTGCGGGTAGGGTGTGCAATGTGAGGGATGTAGGGTGGGGGTGAAGTGGGGGATGTGCAATAGGTGGGTGTGCAATGCAGGGTTATTCAGTGGTCGTTCAGTGCGGTGTGAGCACTGCAGGGTGTGCAGAGGTCGTTGATCAGTGCAGGGCGTTGTCAGTCCGGGGGTGCAATGGGAGGTTATTCAGTGCGGGGTGTGCAGTGCGGTGGGTGGTTGCTCAATGCGAGGTGTGCAATGGATGCAGGGTGTGCCATGTGCAGGGTGCGGTGCCCGGTGCTCAGTGCGGTGCCCGGTGCACGGCCCATCCCGGCGGGGGCCGGCGCGGTGCTGATCCATGTGCAGGGTGCAGGGTGCAGTGCCCGGTGCTCAGTGCGCGGCCCACCCCGCCCGGGGGCGGAGCTCCGGGGAGATGCGGGCGCGGCGGCGGCTCCCGGTGAGTCTCGGCGGCGGAGGCGGCTCCGCGGAGTGGGGCGGGAGTAACGCCGAGCTCCGAGGCCGGTGTGCGCGGCACCCGGTGAGCGGGTCCCGGTCCCGGTACTCCAGAGCGGCTGCAACGCGCCCGTGCTCCCCGGCAGCGCTTGGAGAGACCCGAAACCAGCCCGAGGCGCGTCCCTCCGAGCGGCGGGGGCAAGCGGGAAGTGAGTGGGGGGGGTTCATTGATAACGGCTTGTGTGTGCGTGCCGCGCAGGGGCTGCGTTCTGCACCATGGGCACCAGGATGAAGTCCCTCGTGCTCTACACCTTCTCAATCACGCTGCTGGTGTGTTTTCTCTGCTTGAAGAAGGAGGCAAAGCTGTCAGCGTCGTCAGAGGACCAGAAAGTGGATGTAGCAAGTCACAAACCCAAGTCTGTGCTTCTGGACAATGGCTGTTTGCCAAACCTGACTCTTGACAATTCTTCTCTCGCCCTCCCGGAGTCTCACCGCGTCTTCTTAACATACAAGCACTGTCGGAACTTCTCGGTCCTGCGAAAGCCTTCCAGGTGTAGCAAAGAGGTGTTCCTCTTGCTGGCCATCAAGTCTTCCCCGATCAACGTGGACCGGCGGGTGGCAATCAGGAACACATGGGGAAGGAAGATCTCCATTGGTGGCAAGCATGTCAGGCTGGTATTCCTTCTAGGGCACTCGGAGCCCAAAAGCCAGGTACAAAAGCCCCTGCACCAGCTGCTGGCTTATGAGAGCCAGGAGTTTGATGACATCTTGCAGTGGGATTTTATTGACAGCTTCTACAACTTGACCCTTAAGGAGCTGCATTTCCTCCGGTGGTTTGTGGAGGACTGCCTGCATGCCAGGTTTGTGCTGAAGGGTGATGATGATGTCTTTGTCAACACTTACAACATTGTTGAGTTCCTGCATGAATTAGACCCTGAACAGGATCTCTTTGTTGGGGATGTGATTGCCAACGCCCGTCCCATCAGGAACAGCAAGGTCAAATACTTTATTCCAGCATCCATGTATGCAGCCACCTTTTATCCTCTCTATGCGGGTGGAGGAGGCTATGTCATGTCTAGGGAGACAGTGCGCCGCCTCCAGAGCACGGCAGAGGACACAGAGCTCTTCCCAATAGATGATGTGTTTGTGGGAATGTGCCTGGCAAAGATGGCAGTGACCCCAAAGAACCACGCTGGCTTTAAGACTTTTGGGATCCGGAGACCTTTCAGTCCTTTTGATCCATGCTTTTACAAAGGACTGATGGTTGTGCACAGACTAAACCCAACTGACATGTGGATCATGTGGACACTGGTAAAGGACAAGAGTATCAGGTGTGCGGTGTCCTTAACACGGAACTATGGAAGGGTTTGGAAATGAAGCTACTGATGAGCACAGCAGGATTGTGACTGGTGACAGATAACAGGGTACTTAAACTCAAAATCAGGTTGTGGTAGAGACGTGTCCTTGACTAACAGACTGTACTTGAGCCATGGGGTTTGTCTGCAGGAAGTCTTCTGTCGGTGGGTTACAGGAGCAGTTGAATTGTCACATGGTGGGGATGGGGCCAGTAGCTTGCTGGGACATGGAGCAGGGGCTCAGCTTGGTTTCTCCCAGCCAGACTGGAGCTGGGGAAAGTCACAACTGCCACAGGGATGTGAGTGAGTGGCCACCTGCTATGGAGGCTCCCCAATACCTGTGGCTGGCCACCGATCAGCTTCCTGTCGGGAAGTTCGTGGTGACTAATGAGTGACACAGCACTTGAAATGACTTGAAGGAGTGGAGGAAAGGTCAGTGTGTGCTGCTAGGTCTGCTGCTGCCCCAGGCCAGCAATCCCAAAGGTCCTATGGGACAGAAGGAGGGAGTGGAGTGAGGGAGAAAACACATTAAGGATGGATTCCACAGCAGGGTGATCCAAGGCATTGACTGGGCTCCCACTCAAGCCCTTTGGATTTTACAGAAGTTAATTTTTCCTTGCACTGGAAGCTTTTGCACAAACACTTTCTGATTGGGTTTGAGAGGAGTAGTATGTCTTGAATAATCACAGTGGTAGGTGGAGTGGCTGTAGCTTTCCATGTGGTGTGGGAGGTGTATTTTGTTGTTGTAATGTTGGGTATAAATAAAAGACAGCTTTGAAAAGTGTTTTCATAGGAGTATTCTTGGGTCTCCTGAAAGCAAGGAGCACCAAAAGCCAGAGAGGGCTGAGATCCCGTGCTGGGTGTTTGCATTAAAGAATCATTGCTACTAAAGAGGATGAGGTTCTGTGGAAATGGATACTTGCTGCTTCCTTTCCTGTGCGCAGCTGCCCTGTCCAGATTAAGATGCATTGTCACAAGTGATTGATCTGTGTGTTGGGGTCACTGATTTGAGGAAACATCAAGTATTAAACTCAGATTTGGTGAAACTTCTATGAAGTTTATTGGCTTCAGGGTGTGTAGCTGCTAGATCTTAAACTGCTGTGCATGAGCAGGAAGCAGCCTGGACTTTGAGCAACCTGGTTGCATGGAAGGTGGCTGTGGCAGGGACTGGATGACCTTTGAGGTCCCTTCCAGCCCAAACCAGCATGTGATTCTGTGATAAAGGCAGCAGGTAGAGAGGAAGTGTGTGATTACCCAAATCAAAGCAATTTGTGTTTGCTATTGTCACTGCCATCTCTGGTGCCAGCTGCCCTGTGCTCACTGCCCACCAGATGTGAGCTGGAGCTTTCGGAGGTGCCTGGAAAGTGCTTCCAGGTCCTTGCTTGTGAGAGACCAAGGGTATCTGGAGAGCAGAGATGTTATGTGCTCTCAGGGCAGGCTGCCTGTGCTGCTTTCCAGCAGGGCCTTGTGTGTGTGACCTTGGGATGAGGGACTCCTGGCACTTCTTGCTGCCTTGGCTTTCTGAAGCATGGGGTGTAGCTCTGGCTCAGCCCTATGGTATGACCCAGCCTCCCATGGCAGGAGTTGCCACTCTCACACAAGCTGTTTCTGTGCCAGGTGTGAGGGTTTGCCTGAAAATGCTCTTCCAAGGGGTGAGCCTGTGTGTGGCCATCGTCCGTGTGGTCTGCTACAAGCTGCTGCTGTATCTTTTCACTGCAGCCCTAAGAGGGATTAATAGCTGTATGAGCTGTACCTGAGAAACTGGCTACATGTAGTTTCAGATGACGTTGGCTTTGTAAACAAGGCTGAGTATCAGCAGCAAACCCAAGTTTCTGGGCACTGCTGCTTGTTCCAGAGAAAAGGCTGGGGAGAATGGGTACCATGGTACCCTCCAAACTGCTGCAGCAGCATCTTTCTGATCCACTCACTGATTCCAAATGCAAACTCAGTAACATAACGTAGAGCATGATGTCATGTCTGTTGTGGGCTTAGCTGTATGGGTAACCCCCAGCAGGCAACTTTCACTTCCTAATAAAGTGTGGGACTCTTTCCACCCTGGTTTGGGGGCAATATGAAGCCACCTGTGCTCCTCAGGCCCATTTTGGCTTGACTGAACTGATTCCTGTCACATCTGAAGGTTTGATGTGTGTGGGACATCTTACTTCCCAGCCTGTGTCTTGGGAAGTAAGAGTGAGGAGTACAGTCAAACAACTGGGGCAACAGGGACCTGGGAGCATGCCCTGAAAGGGAGAGAGTTGCTCTGCAGACTCCTGTAGCAGTGCTCATCTGTACTAAACCGTATCTATGCCATGCAAGCATCTGTGCAGTTACTGTGGCATCCTGAAAGGAACACAACTTGTACGTGCTTTTGGGTCAGTGGCTTGGTAGCCATTCTTCAACTGCAGCATGTCACAAATTGAACAGCTGTGGTTAGAGGCTGACCTGGAGTTGCCTTTGGCTCTTGAGGCTGTGGTTGTGCCCCTGCTGCAAATAATCCTCTCCTGCTAGTGGGGTTTTATCTAATGCTTTGGCCCAAAGCTGTGTTTAGGACCTCCTGACTACCAACACAGCAGACACTGGTGTCTTCCTGTGAGCTTGGATTCTGGACTGTGCCATCCTCCTTGGACACAGCAGCATCCAGCGAGGAGCAGGAACAAGGAAAGGTAGTTTGTTTAATTCCTTTACTACTTCATCTGTAAATGTACAGCATTGTGCAACTAAGACTGCATTTGTTCAAAGGTCAGGCAAAATGAGACACGTATAGAAAAGCTTATGCTACACCTGCACCCAGCACAACTCAGTTTAGTAACAGCAACCTTGACACAGGTGTAGTGCATGAGATGGTAATTCCTGGTGAAAAACCTGATTAATGTGTTTTCTTACAAAGCCTGGTGAGTGGGGATTAACTGACTCAAATCAGCAGTGAGAAAGTCCTAGTGGATGCTGTTCCACAAATCCATCTCAGCTCTAAGTTTCTATTGTCTATACAGTTAATATTGCAAATTTCACATTCAGCTGTCAGGTTAGAAAATGAGCACAGTGAAAGGCACCTGTGGTTTTGAAGCCTGCACTGAAACATCAGGCTTGCAAAAGGAAAGAATTATTTTCCTGAGACTTGTGCTGGAAAGCATTCAACCATGCAAAACTGGCTTTTGCTCACTGCTCGGTAAAGAAGGACACAGCAGTTGCCACGACAACTTTGTTTAATAACCACAGGGTCTTGAAAGTCAACTCTCCCTTTGCTTCCTGGGGGAGGCAGCTGTGTTCCAAGCAGTGACTTCTGGGTGGAAGCAGTTGCTGCACTGAGCTGCAGAACTAAGAGCAACCTGGGGAACTCCACAGGGCTGCAGCAAATGTTTCCCCTGATTGCAATTAGTGTAATTTAGTGCAGCTGTCACTCAGCTCTGTTACAGTTCCAATAGAAAATAGTGCTTAATCTCTTCTCCAAACAAGCACACTCACAAGATGCTTTTGCACAGTTTAATAAAGGTGCCTCCTAAGGGACATCATTCACAAGTTAAAAATAGTGACTTTTAAATACATCTTTGGCTGATACCCAGTTAGCCTCTAAGTTAAGAGAGCTGTCACAAACATATCACATGAGTGGTAGGACCCTCCCAGCAGAGAGACTATTAACAACCAGCTATCCTTGATAGCGATCTTCACATTTGCATAGTTAAACATTTAAATAACTGAATCCATGAGTATTACAAACACAGTAAGCTACAAACAAGATCGAGGCCTTTCAGATACTTGGAACTGACCTGATCTGTAAAGCAGTCCTGTCTGAAAAATGGAATCGCAGGCTTATTTCAGCAGTTTCCCACTATCCCACACTGAAAAGTTTGGGACCCTTCAATCTGTGATTGACTCTCACATGTTCCAAGGTGACATCTGAATTCTTTTCAGTCCTCCCGCAGGTAAGGGTCCTCACCTGCCTCTGAGCTTCCTAAAATACCCTCTGGGAATGAAGAATCCTCTCCTTGAGCTTTGATGAGCTCTTCTGTTTGAGCTTCAGCTAATTTGGTCTCTGCTTTCTGGGACAGCAGTTGCACTTCTTGTACCTGTGATTTCACCAGCTGAATGTGGCTGCGGGCTGACACTGAGGCTTGGTCTGCACCTGAGGTAATGATTTAAATACAGAGGGCTAGAAGAACACTCAGCACACCCTCAATTAAGATACCTCCTGTCTATAATTATCACCTGCTTTGCTACGTGTTTTGATGGCTCTTGGGCTCCATTAATGCTAAATGCATTTGCTGTTCATTTACCTTCAACAGTAATTTGCCTGCTTTGAGGTTATTTTTTGCCCCCTTGAACTCTTCCCACCCAAGTGGATTACAGCCAGTGTCTGATCAGAGCAACCAGCTTGCGGTAGTGGATTGCAGAACTAAGCCCAGCCATTGTGTGCCAGGAACCTGCAGTCCTTGTCCAAGCACCTCCCAGCAGTGAGAATATTTGTGTCACTGCTGAACTCAGAATGCCTTCTCCTCCTGACAGAGTCAGGGTGTCCCTGTATGTTCATCACTTTTCTCCCCTTCTCCACTCCAGTAACTTTGCTGACTTACCATAAGCCAACCCATAACTCAATTTTCAAGCTATCATGTCCTAAACTTTTTGTGAAAGGGTGTATCCAGGCAGAAAAGACCAAAATGCATCTCTTTCCTGAGTGAGAGGCAAATATTCCCACTCTTTAATCGGAGTCCATCTGGAAAGATGTGCTGGACCCTCCTAGGTAGCTTTATTTCTGTGGCTATATTGGAACCACTGCATTTAGAAATGACTAAATGCTTCCCTGAAACATTTTTCTGGCATGGTTGGTCTTAATCTAAACCATGTGTGAAGTTTCCAGGCCTAGTTCTCAAAACTCATCTACTAGATCTGTAGCCAATGAAATAAAAGAAGTTCTCAGCATCTCTAAAAACCAGGCATTAGGTGTAAATTGCTTTGTGAACCGAACAGATATTCTGGGTCTCTTCAACTCCATTCTCCTGCAAGAAATGCTGCCTAAATGTGAGGGGAAAGGCATCCTCAGTGTTACCTGACTGATATGCAGCTTCTGCTGCCATCTCTGAAAGACGTAACGCTGTCATCCAGCTGGATTGCAGCCTTAGGTATTCCTCCTGCTTTGTTCTCACCTAGGAGTAAAACAAAGTGTTACTTAACCAGATGTAACAGTATCTGAACACTCTTCCAAGTAGCACCTTCCTGAAAAGGTGAGCAAGAGAGAGGAGTTTCTGAGCAGAGTTCTAAGAGGCAGATTGGTGCCTGAAAGGAGACGCTTACATCAACTCTGGCTCCTATCACCACCTGCCAAACTGCATCCACCTCTTCTGAATCCATCTTCCCAAGAAGGTTTGCATATTGCTTGTAGAGAGACACCAGTGTATAAACTGCCTGCAAAGGAATCATTTCAGTTACATGATGATCTGTACATCTCTGATGTTGTCTCTGTGTTAACTCGTATTAGTACAATTGCTGAATGCTTCTAAAAGTGCTTTGTTCTGAATTCACTGCAGTTTTGGGGGCACTGACAGTATTTGCTGTCTGCCCACAGCACTGCTGTGCTCAACATCTCTTTATATGCTTGCCATACTAATAAGGAGGTAAACTGGAATGCAAATACTTTACTAAATTGGCACTTATTTGTAAAATGAAAACTCTACCTTCTTATTTCAGACTTAAATATGGCTCACTCCATTCTTCTGATGAAACTCAAGTTCATAGTCTTAGAAATGGAAACAGAAGGTAAATAAAATACCTAAGAATACAGGGTGGTGCATCCTACTTACTCAGGATGCAGGTATCCAATACCTGTTATGAGTTTCTTTAACCCCAGTTCTGAGACATGGGGCATTCTGGCTTAAGTTCAAGCTCAAAGCAACAGTCTAACAAAGCTAAAGGTAACTTCTGTGTTTGGTGTAGCAGCACAGGGAGCCCTACCCCACTGTTTCCCAGAGACCTGACCTCTTCAAACCCCACACCTCTGTTATTAAAAATAATAAAACAGCCAAAGTCCATTCCAAGTATGGTTTAATGGGTGTAGTCTGTGTCAAATAGTTTACTATTTCCAGTGCTGACTTGCTAGCACAGCACGCACTCTCTCAGCTTACCTTTGTGTACTCTGTCAATGCTTCAATCAGCGCGTACGTTGTTTGGGAGAGGAGTGTAGAAGTGCTGTCTGTGACCAAGGAAACTGCTCTTTTAATCAAGGCATCGTTGCTGAGAGAAACCACATTCTGCTGCTGAAAGACAAAGATATCTGTGTGATCTTTTACCCTGACTTTCATATGGATGCAATAAATAGCGATAAGGAAAAGCACCACTGTTAGTTACAAGGCTGGACAGCCCAATTCTTGCTGCTGTTTTTGCACTGTAAAACAAGACAACTGTTTTTACAAGGTGTTACTTCCTCATTTCTTCTCCTTAACAACCACATCTTAAACACCTGTGATCCCCAAGCAGGAACACAATTCCAAGGACAAGTAAAATGCACTTTGTAAAATGCCAAGTGTTTTTGAGTGTTAAACTGTTTGTAATGAGCAGGTTCTGCATGCACCACTGCTGGTACCTTACCTCCACAATGGGGACAGCGCACAAGGACACTCCCAGCCCCACTCCCACCACGTGGTGCCATCGGCCGCTCACGCCCGAGAGGCAGCGCCTCCTGACACTGGCCACAGCAGGGAAGCTTCGCCTGGAAATGCAAGAAACAAAGGTAAGCACAAGAAGTAACCAGTGTGCAGTGGGCAATAGGTATTGGAGAGGAAGGGAACACCTAGAAGCTGTCCTGGGTGTCCCACTCTCTCCTGAGCTTCTGTAATGCAGCTATGTAATAGTGAATGGGTAAGTTTGGTTTCAATTCTGTTACATTACTTAGTTATAAGTGCAAGAAAAGAGATTAGCACAGTAACTAGCACGTTATTAATCCTTTGAGAGGTGCAGATGTATCTTACCTGGTACCAACACACTGCTAATACTACGTAACATTGAAAAGCAAGTTAAAAAGCATGCTTAAAAGTGGTACAAGGTACACGCAGGTGAGGAGTATGGCTGGTAATAGTTTGCTGCAGCCCAGTGCACTCAGGGCCTCCTGTGGTCAGTTTCACTGACATCCAACGTTGTGCATTAGCCTGTGGGGTCAGGGCCTATCTCTGAAATACTCGAGCAGAGGAGCACCCTCAGCCGTGAGGCTTCTGCTGTTGTTCTGGTGTCCTCTTTTACGCTGCGGGCTCTTAACCTACATTCCCACAGCGGCAAGCGCTGTGTGGGTACCACAGCCTGTGCTCCTCCGGCCGCGCTGTGGCAGCTGGACGCGGATGAGGCGAGTCTCTGTGGCACAGGCCGCCGCTCCAGCCTGCCTTGAAGCAAGTCACAACGGGCGCTCAGCGGCAGGGACGGAGCCGGGCGCCGGAGCCCATTGAACACCCGCCTGGGCCCCACCGAAGCGCCCTCGCCGCGCAGAGCCGGTACCTGAGCAGGGAGCAGCAGCTCCGGAGCCACCGGCTGCCCGCCGCCATCTTGGAACTGGGCGGTGCGCAGGAAGTGACGTCAGCGCGCAGCGGAGGGGCGGGGGTGGAGGCGCGAGCGCGTGGGGCTGGAGCGGAGGGACCGGGGGGAGCGATGGAGGCCCCGGTCTCTGGGCCCCGCAGGGAGCGGTACCTGCCCGGGGGCAGGCCCTGGGGAGCACAAATGGTGCTGGGGGCTCAGCGCCGGCCGCGCTGGGCAGCTCCTGAGTGTTCCCGTGCTCAGGGACACCGGAGGGCCCGCAGCTGTGTCAGGTCATCAGTGAGGGCCGCGATCGCACGGACCGGCTTACACAGGTTCTGCTCCGCACCCCTTCCTTCAGTTTGTCTTTGTTTTACAAGTGTATGTAACGGCGCTTTGCTTTCGGCTCGTTCCACACCAGTGATAATCCGCAGCTTCTTGGTGATAATCCCCAGCTCCTCCACCAAAGGTTTCCTGTGTAGTTCCACATGAAAGCCTTGGTCAATTGAACCTACTCTATTTATAGCAGAGAGTCTGTTCTCTGTTACAGTGCATTCAGTGCAGTTTACTTTCAAGCAGTGCTGCATCACAGGCACATCTCAGCTCTTTCTGTGTTTTAAGCATTTGCTGTAAAGCATAGCACACTTGAGAGCACCAAATAATAAGCTCGTGGATAGCGTGGTGTTCGTGCCCCCCATGAAATATCCTCCTAAAACTGCAGGAAGAGGGAAACCTTGTGCTGGCTGATTTGAGATGTCTTTTTCCAGAACATCTAAAAATAATTACAAGTAATTTCTGCATCTCAGCCTTCACACCCTTAATGAGACAGAGTCGGACAAGGCAGGACTTGTTCCTATGAGATACTGGTCATGTTTGAATTGTGTTGCATCCATCCTGTCCATCCGCTGTGCTTGGCAGGCTGCTGTGCTCTTGAGGCAGATCATGAGCTGGGAATCTCAGGATAAAACTGCTGGGAGGCTTTTAAACGTTTTGAGGAACAGGGGCAAATGTGTAGGAGCCACAAAGAAGCTGCAAGAGCCACACAGATCAGTAAAGTGCATGCATGTAGATGCTTTGGAAACCTTTATTGTTTTTACATAAGAAAATAAGACTGTGATTAGGCAGTAATGAAACAAAACACTTGCAGGAGGAAGGGACCTCATGTGATGAGCAGATGTGCAGGATGAGCTGCATGATGGAGCCTGTTCCCTTTGGAGAGGACTCATTTAAGCACCAAGAAGTACGTTGTCCATCCAGCGAGCAGCAGCGCCCCGACCAACACGGTGTAACTGAAGAGCACGAAGGCCAGCAGCTCCCTCAGCACCTTCAGGAAGTGGATGGTGAAGGAGTCCGGCATGGTTCTCCCCGGCACTGTGCAGGTAGGCTCTCTGGGGCTGGCTGCCTCTGTGCTCCTCCTGCTCTCTGAGAAAAGGGACAGGATGAATGTTTCTGAGCAAGGAGACTGCAGAGCGGATGGGGTGGCTTTAATGTGGGGAGAAATGGCTGCGTTCAGGAGGGGTAATGTTCACCCATCCTTCTTAAGAGGTTGTCACTGTCAGGTTGTACTTGTGAGTGCTTTATCAGAGCCCTGTACAGGGGCTGCTGAGCTGCAGTGTTGCAAAAGAGTTTGGGATCTGATCAGTGTCTCCATATCAGGACTGGTAATGAAGCAAATTAAAGCACAGCCACACACAGGCAGTGTTGGTACGGGGAGAGGCCCCTACAGAGTCCAGCTGGCTCCTGGGTTCTTCCCCTCTGTGTCAGTGGCAGTGCATCTGGGAAGCTTCATGTTCAGAATGGTTGCTGATGGTGCATTACCAGCAATGTGTTCTGATCAAAGTGGTCAATTCCTCCAAGGAAGCCACCATTAATATTTAATGATATAATTGCATCTAATGGAGATACTGGCACAAACTGAGCCTTTTGTTTAAGAAGGATGAAAACTGGGGCTTAAATACAAGTTTGCACAGGCAAATATTTATATCTCACGTTAAAAATAACCCTTAAATGGAAGACATGGGATAAGATACTTTAGAATTCGTCTTCTGGCTGTATCTTAAAGTCATCCTTGCACATCATTTTAGAAGTAAGTGTTCATTTGTTAGTTTCATACAAAATCTGAACTCCTTCACAAAAGTTGTTGGTTCCTTAAGACTTAAAGCTGTGAAGACCCACGTAAAAAATTCTACCATCTCTCCAATTTACATATTCTTTTCAATTTTGATCATAACTGTGGCTGGTCAAATATAGCCACGCTCTTGGTCAAACACATAAAAGGGGATTTAAAACCAGACTTAAGATAAAGCTAACCTGAAAGGAGTATTTCTCTTCTAAACAGTGTAAAGCCAGCAAAATAAACCGAATTCCCACTCTGATACTTAGACTATTTTTGAAGAGCTTTTGTGATAAAGAGTTCACTTTTTGGTCTTACTAAAGAGTTCAGTCATTTCAGTCTAAGCTCAAGTACTCGTATACATCAAAGGAGCTATTGCAATTTAAAACCAGGCATGGTTTCCTGTTGTTCAGAGCATTCAGGTTTTCTATTTATAGACTTTACATGGTTTCTGCTTGTCCAGAAAGAAGTGGATAAAGAAATAAGCTGCTTACCCTGGTAGATGATGGGCTCTACTTTGTAAAGTTCCTGTTTCTCTCTAGTTCTTCTGCAGCTGCCCCTTGAATTTCTGCCTTCTAACGGGTTTCTGCTGTAGTTTGATCCCTTTCTGCTCTGCTCATCCGGGAGCCAGAAGTAATGAGGTGGTGTTTGCAGCCCGCACGAGGACTAATGCACTAGGTGTGGCCAGGACCAGTTATGATATGACATAGCAGAGCAAAACAGAGCATGCCAAATAGCTCCCCTTCCCCAGAGTGCTTTTGTGAACAGTATTTGGTGAGGTTAAGCACCACGGCTTAATGTTACCAGGTCAAAACTGCATTTGCTTAAATGTATGCTTTATTTTCCTCTAGCAAAGTGTTGTGTCACTTTATACTTTGTCCTGCAGTTACACATCATTCTGTAGTTATGTGGAATGCTGTTGTGCCTCTTGCTCCATTCTCTGAGAGCCCAGTGCTCCTGTAGGTCGCTCAGGGAGAAGGATGCTCACATGGGGATCATCTCAGGTGAGCAGCGCTTTACTTGCTGAACCTTTATGAACTGAGTCAGCCTCTTATCAAACAAGAGAGAGTGCTGAAGCCTCACTGCTCACTGTACTGTCACTAGTTCACTGATCTACCTTAACCCCGCACACCCAGTCACCTCTGCCTTTTAGAGAATGAGCACTCTTGCAGCAGGGGGGAGGAGGGAGATAAGCTATGTATTTATTTTTAACAAAACTGTTTTCTGATAATATTCTATGAGAAGAGAAATTCTTCCAGGGTGGAGGTTGGGTAATGGTTTCTTTATGGTTTTTGCTTGTAAACCAGACAAATGCATACAGCAGAGAGAGGGAAGAGTATGTACTGCAAATCAAATCTCTTATTCACAAAGATATTATGATGTAGAAAATGGCCCCATAATTTAATTAGGCTCTCTTGTTATCAAATTATTACCCGCGTGGTCAGCAAGGCCTTAGCCAGAAGCAGAACATAATCAAGATGCTCAGGAAGCCTGTTAAGAAGTAATTGCTCCTCCAGAGAATTGATCAACGTCAGGATTGCTTTTAGTTTGTGTTGTTGTTGTTGAAGAGTTCCAGGAAGAGACTTTGTTCAGGGTGAGTGTCCGCATGTTGATAAATTAGAGTTTACCAAGTGTTGGGTGTGAGTTAGCTTCAAAGTAGGTTTTACATTTAGTATCAGTGACAAATAACCACGTTTGCTGGGCCAAGTGAAAAGGTAAGCAAGCTCTTGAATGGGTTCCTTTATTTGCTTGTGGTGTAGCTTTTATGCGGTATGGCCTCAGTTCACAAAACAGCCTGAGCAGTGCTGTAATTTCCTTGGGATTAGTTCAGTTTTTAAGATTAAAGAAAAAAGAATAAAATCTGGAAATGGTGGTAGTACAGCAGACACTCAGGGCTCAGCAAAGGACACTGTCAGGATTGCACTGACTCACGTCATTGTTTCTTGCTCTTCTTTGCCCAGTAACATCTCAGTTTTGATCCAAACCTACTTTTTAAAGACTATGAAATTAGCTACTTTACAGTGGATCTCCAGCAATAACTCAGAGCAAGGCAGCTCATGCTTGCTCCTTACATTGTTGTCAAAGTTGCAGCACATTTTGTTTCTGCAAGAAATTAAAGTCTCAAATGATTAAAAATGTTATCTTTCTTCAGAAGTCAAGAAATCCCATAAGTAGTTCTGAGCTAGTATGCTCAGCTGCAGAACAGAATGGAATTAGTGTGTAAACTGAAAGAAAAAGCATTGAGCTGTTAAGAGAAATAGCTTCAGTTCAAGTAACTCAGGTATCCTGGGGCAGGGGAGAAGGACACAGTGACCACAGTGCAGAGGTTTGGTTTATTTTATTTAGGTTTGTATTCCAGTGAGAGAAACACATCCAAAAAAGACCAAATAACAGTTTCCATTTTGTTCTAATGAGCCAAGTGGAGTTAGTCAGACAGACAGAGGGGCTCTGTGATGGGGCTGGTTGGGCAGAACTCAATCTTACAAAACAAGACTGAAACCCACAGTCATAAATGTCACACCTTGGCAAAATGAAGGGGGTTTCGGGATGTGTTGTGCATTCTGCAGGATAACTGAGAGCAGCTGTGTTTGCTGAGAGTGACTTAAGGTGCGGGATGGGTTTTTTTCAGCTGTTTTTCACTATTTAAACCAGTCCCCAGTGGTTGCTGGAGAAGCATGCGAGTAGTGATGGTGACCATGGAGCGAGAGGGCTGAGGCACAGCACCGGGCTCTGGCAGTGGCAGCTGCACAGGCCTAAGAAAGGAGCCTGCTCTGCCTTTCCATACCCTGGCCATTAGCAAGGCCAAGTCTCCAAGAGCTGAAGCAGCCTCTAGCACACGCTAGCTCAGAAATGCCAGGGGCCCTGCCACCAAGACCATGGAAAATTCCATTTTATGATGTTGAGCTCTGTAATAGCTTGTGGCAGCAAGTTCCACAGTTTATAAACTGAACAGGGAGAGTGAAGAAGTGTCTGAAACCCACTGTTTACTAGGTCACTGACATAGCTATTTTTGGCCCAAGTCCCATGCAGGGAGTGTTTGTGTCTTCAGACATAAGCTTTTGACATACTGATGTAATTTATACCCTGGAGTAGCTTTCCTGAGTCAGGTGGGTGTACCCAGGACAAACAAGCCTTTAGAAGGCGACTGCAGTGAAAGGCTCAAGCATCTCCCTCATAATTTGGGTGCAGTTGCTTGTTTTCATAGTCAGTGTTGTTGACGTGCATGTGGATAGTTCAAGGTTTAGCTGTTGCTGCAGGAAACCCAACAAACGTCTTGGCCAAAGTGTGCAGGACAGTGGACTTGAGTGTGGCCTACAGGTACCTCACCATAACAGCCAGCTTGTAAGAGCCAGCACAGGCCAAGCATGCCCTGCAGCTGCATTATTCTGGACGCCTGGGAGCTGGGAAGTTTGTAAACATAGGCAGTGAAAAAGTTACTGCTTCCCCTTTACAGGAGTTCTCTTTCCATTGTGGAGTCAGCTGGGAATATTGGTGTGACAGCAGGAACAGAAAACATCCTGCCTCCTCAGCACCTTAGGAGGGTAACAAAGGAATAATCACATTTCCTGCTGCAAATAAACTGAAAGGGGAGAAAAAAAGCAGCAATTTGCCAAATGGAAGCACCAGGCCCAATCCCTGCCACCCCATCACTTCTTTGCCAATCCAGACCAGGAGCTGTTTGTTTCACTGTTAGTGCCTTTCAGCTCTGAAGCAGCTGAAGTAGCTCAAAAGGAGCTACTTTGACTACTAGAAGTTCCACAAACAGTAGGAACCCAAATGCAGAGAGGGATGAGGGTAACCGCATCATGAGCTGGTCTCAAAGAGAGCTTCTTGCACTGTCTTGTTTCCCTGATGTTCAAGCCATGCCAGAAGACCAGAAGTTGATGTGCTTGTGTCCACAGGGCCTCTCACCTTCACTGTCTCTTACCACAGACCTTAGAATGGGGCAGGCTCCAGTTTTTCCATCAAGGATTTCATCCAGGTTGTCCCATTGATCAGTTTTGTAGTGGCAATGACATATTCTGTGCCTCCATCTTCCATCTGGGACAGAAATCTCAGTGCAGCAATTTCTGCGTATGTTACCCCTCCCAGGAAGAACACCAGAGTGACTCTGTTCTCACCATGTTGACCTGTGTGTTCAGAGACATTTACAGGTTGTAGTTTTACATCAACTGTCAGGCAGACTCAAAATAACCTAAACTAAAATAAAGATATTAGAATTAGAGGAGAAACCTATTGAGCAAAGCACTAGGCCCAGAAATGCAGACTCTCCTCCCAGCTCTGGAGTCTTTTTAGAGGATGTGCTCCTGCCTGCCCAGGCTTAAGACTAGAGAGTGCACAGTCATGTTAGTTATTAAACTCACAGTGTAAGGTTAGGGCTTATTTAAGTACTCTCATGAGAAGTTAAAACATGTATGGCTCTGTTCTGTCTTCAGTGCACATGGTGCTGTGCATTAACAGCAGGCTGAGTTTGTGACTGGATGTTTTAAAGAGGCCAGGAAGCTATCTGTCCAAAATAGCTTTGGTAGACCTAATGCTGGGACAGGGACAAGAGACAGGTGCCTAGACTCTGATTTCAGTTTGCTTCTCTCCATTGCCCTGCATGCTACGCAGACATGCATCTCCCTTTCAAAAATGGGAAAACAAAGCAAAACTCACGCTTTTTCTGTAGGCCAGTGGGTAGCTGCTGCCTCTCCTCAAAATGGGGACCTGGCAGCATCTTCAGAACCTCTTCTATGCTCCTCCACCCTGGGCGAGCCAGTAGCTGTGCCAGGCGGACACTCAGCGGTGCATAGCCACTGTACACATAGGAGATATCATTGGGGTTCTGCAGGAGAGAGCAGAGTGCGAGCAGTGGGTGAGAGCTGCTTCATGCTGCAAAACAGCACCATAAAATAGTAATAATTAAAGAAAGATGCAGGTTTTCCTGCTGCACCCAATTCTGTGTTGTTGGATGTGATGTTCGCTGTGGAGGTGTCTGTTTACCTGTTCATTGACATCATCCATCCATAAGCGCAGGGTTTTCCTGATTGTTGGGTAGTTATTCCTACCGCCTGTCTGAGGTTTCAGGAGTCCAGCCTTCTCCAAGTTGTTTAAGGTCAATATATGTTCGTAGCCATAAGTCTGCAATATGAAGAATTCACTTTTAATAGCACGTCAATAATCCATGACCAGAGTGTTTAAAAAATATAAAGGCAAAGATGTTCATTTTAAAAAGCTTTTTGGTTAATCTGAAGTGTTTAAATCATGATAGTAAAAAGTGCAGTGATGTAAAACCCCTCTGTATCTACATGTTGTAAAATATATCAGCACCTCCTGAGCCATTGCTGTCAGCACACCCAGAAGCCTCAGTATTCCCTCTGCACACGCTGGCAGTCAGCATGGCCCATGTACAAGATGGGTCTGTCTAAACTACAAGTGTATTTTAAAGCAGAGCTGAGGATTTGGTGGGATTTTCTTAGAAATGTGTGGATCCAAAAGTTCCAGCCCAACCTGGAGAATCTCTCTTTTGTAATGGTCCAGAACCTTCTGCTTCAGTCCACTATTGCACACAGATTGCAAGCAGACGAGGCGCAGGATCTTGATTAATGGATGCTTCTGAGCTATGCAGTCTTCAATGTAATTATTAACCTATTTTTAAAAAGATAAATAAAAATACATAAGCTATTATTTAAAGACCTATTGAAGTGCCTACAAGACCTGGAATGAAAGATCTGGTTTTGCCCAGTATCTCTGAAACAGCGAGAGAGAGGGGGCAGCTGCTCTCCAGGCACCTCAAGACCAGTATATCAGTGACCCAGCTCTGGTTCCACCCTGTGTCTCTGAAGCACAACAATTCCACAGTCAATAGCTAAACTTTATCTGATGCACTGAAAAAATCCTGATTACCAGTCCTCAATCTTCCCTTGATTCCTCAAACTGCAAATGTGCAAGGAGATGCACACGAGAGCTCCCAGCCTTGACACTGGAAGGAGACAGACATCACCTACAGCAGATGTTTCCTCTAGCAAAAAAAAACAAACAACCAAACCCCAAACGGAAAAATAACCCAGAGAAATACATTGGTTTGGGGTTTTTATTTTCAAGACATTAAAAGTCACTAATTGTCATTATCTACTTACCTTGTCTGTGTCTATTCCAGACATGAACTCTTGTTCCACCGTTAAATTATCAAAGAAATCTTCAGATGCTTTGGGAAAAGAATGAAAATCAATAGAACAGCAACCAACAGCTTATTTCCTACATTGACATTTCAGCAGAGATGCACTGGATGGAGCAAAGCCAATTTCTGCCAGGCTGAATAAAGTCCATCAAGTTGTCTTGCATCTTGCTGTGGTGAAATGAGTCAGAACAACTGTTACACTCACTGATGATGAAGGACTACTCACTGGTGATGTCTTTGATGAGTTCTGCAATGGAGGTGTGGTTTGCTAGAGAGCTTCTTGCTGCCTGCATGTGTGGCAGCTGTGAGACAAACTGCTTGATCTCTCCGACGGTCTTTGCGTGGTGGCGTTCCTGAAGAAAGCCATCACTTAGGTTAGGGCTTGTTCAGAGCAGTAACACCAACGAGATCACTGTATCATCACAAGGTTTTTCACTGTACTCACTGCAACAGCAGATGCTGTTAGACAGACACAGCCTTTTAGACAAAATGCTTTAAATGCTTACACTAATGCCACAGCATTACCTGTAAAAGCACTTTGCTCATTAGAAGAGGGAGGACATAGAACAGGATCATTAGGCTGGGTTTTCCCATTCTGCCAGTGTTGTCAGTCACTTCTAATCATGGTTTGGGTTGGAAGGGACTTTAAATCTCATCCAGCTCCAACCCCTACCACAGGCAGGGACACCTTCCACTAGAGCAGCTTGCTCCAAGCCCTGTCCAACCTGGCCTTGAACACTGCCAGGGATGGGGCAGCCACAGCTTCTCTGGGCACCCTGTGCCAGCGCCTCAGCACCCTCATAGTAAAGAATTTCTTCCTAACATCTGATTTTCTCCATCTTTATCAGGCTTCAGCCATCACTCTCTGCTCCTGTTTCCCAGCAAAACTACCTTTTTCAGGCAAAGCTGAGGTACTTTGCTAGCTTCTAGTAAACACAATGCTGTAGGCAAAAGAACTCAGAGATAGAGACATTTCCCCCCCAAACAGCAGTGAAAGGTGCTGAGGAACTGGGTTGGTGGGGTCTGTGTCCCTCGTGAGCAGGAGCTTGCCATTCACTGTACCTGGCTGTAACAATGTCCCAGGTTTAGAGCAAGGATCTGATGAAGCACAGTGCAGACTTCAGCTCCCAGAGCAGTCTCTGGACTGTTTCATTTGTGCCTCTTGCTGCAACTTGGAATAAAAATAATCATTTGACTCATGTGGAGGATTTAAATGGGCAAGTGCAGGCAGGAGGGTGATAATGACGCAGCCTGCAATGAAGGAGTCCTCTGCTGCCAATGTGCCACTGCTTCATTATCACCTATTACCTCTGACAGTTTAAGTTCCCTCTTTTTTTAACAACCAGTATGAATAATCCATCTTTAGCACCTTCACCTTTAATACTGCAATAACAGTTACTAGGGGATGAGGCTGAGCACGCCCTACTTCAGTTAAGGTACCACTGCCTTGTCTTAAATGTGGCCAAAGTGAAGAGGCAAAGAGAAACCCCAAGGGAACACAATCAAACAGTGTAACAGGGCCTCTTGAAGTCTGCAAGCAGAAACCTGGGATCTCGGCTTCCTCATGAACCATCAACAGCATGTTTTTCAACAAAACCACAGACGCAGCCCACAGCACCCTCCACCTTTATCCAAGGTGACACGTGAGTGTGAACTGCCAGATCAAACCTCCTAGAAGGCAAGTGTTGCTCTCACATTCCTGTTGTTTTTACACCAGCAATAATGCTTAATGCTCTATGAATGCACATTCTGGAGTGCTGTTTCTTAAAGCCCTTTCTCTGCATCCTCAGTGAATACAGAGGGAAAAGGACCTTTCATTTAACAGGCAACAACAGTGGAATTGACCAGGATGCTAAAACAGACTCCCTGGTTTTGATCTGGCCGAGGGATTACTCCATGGCAACAGCTTGAGCTGCCAATCACAGCCCTGCTCAATGCAGCCTGTGACTTATCTGACAACAAAGATGCCCAAGGGATGCACAGTCGGATCCAGGCCTCACCTCAAAGGCTGCAGAGATGATCTTGGCTTTCTTGCTCAGCACTGACCCCACGGCATTGAAGTTCTTGTCTCGGATTTCAGCATAGAGCTCTTCAGCAGAGTTGAGCTGGAGCTTCTTGGGTTCTGTGGGGAGATCTTTCCCACCCTCACCCTGCTTCTTTGGGGCAAACTTCTCGGGAGGGAGTTTCACATAAGCTAGCAAATACAGAGAAATAACCCTTAGAGAGGGGAACTTCAGCAGAAGTAAAGATAAGGAAATGTGTCCCCTGAGCACAAAGCAGGCCTGAGCAGCAAAGCTAATAGAAACTCCCAGACAGCTCAGTGCATATGGGTTCATTAAGGACAGGCTCTCCCAGGGACTCGGAGACCTATATAGACATGATCAGAACCCAAGTGCTAACCATCAAACTTTCAACAAGGCCTGGAGGCAGCCTTCCAGTCGCTACAGCAGGAGGGAATAAAACCCATCAGTGCCTCTTGGGAGTTACTCTTTGTAGCTCCTGAAGAGCCAGAGACCGCTCTGAACAGCCTTTCACAAACTGTTCCTGTTCTCACAGTGTGGTACCTGAGCTCAGCGGGCTGGAGGATGAAGCACACACTAACATCTGTACCTCCACACCGCGTGTTCCGTGCCATTGTGCCTGCCCCCAGCCCACATCCAAGCCCTGCTCTCACCTTCCCTTCCTGTGCAAAGAGAGCCAGGGCTGATCTTTAGGAGCTCTAGCTTGGGACTGAACCATCCCTGCACCAAGTTCCAGTTGAGCTGCTCCCACATGGGAGCCATTCAGTGAAGCAGAAAGGCACCTGAGACTCCTCAGCCCGCCTGGGGACCCCTCGCTCTGCAGTACTCACTGTTCTGGATCCCATAGATTTCATCTATGAGCCCCTCATAGGTGAGCTGCGTGGCCAGCGGTGTCAGCAGGTCCACGTTGCGGTCCAGCAACAGGAGGGTGTCAAAGACAGGAAATATCGAGTTCTGGCTCCCAGGGAACTCGCGCTTCATCCTGATCATCATGTTAGCCACGTGCTGGAAAGACACCACATCCCTCTGGTTACGGGGCAGGCCACCAGGGATGGATCTGATGTAACAGGGGCAGGTACCAGCTAAACCACGGGTTGATCAGAGAGAAGTGGGTTACAGGGAGAGAGGAGAAAGCCAAGGCATGGGCAGCAGGTACACATTTCCCACTTCATTCAGCCCTTGTGACACCAGCAACCAAGTGTTAAAACTCCACAGAAAGAACACAAAGGCAGTGCCCCTGTGAGCAAAAAGCACATGAAAACAGCTGAATCCTCCTGATGGGAAGACTTCTGGAACAGCAAAGGGCGTTCTTTTGGCCAGGGATGGCCTGGACCTGCAGCCATGATCCTGAAATTCCGGTACGACAAGAGGGGTCCCTGGCTGGATTCAGAAGCCCCAGGGGCGGTCCCACAGAACAAGATGGGATTTCCCATTTGCCTCACCCGAGCACACTCGCCCTTCCCGAAGATCTGTGGGATGGTTCCGTACAGAGCCTGCAGCGTCATCAGCCCCTTTGCTGCGTGGTACAGACTCGTCTGGTCGCTCTCCAGGTAACATTCCTACACAACAAGAGGGATTCCCGATGGAAGGTGCTCGCACAGCAGCTCCCCAGCAGAATGTGGTCCTTGTGAAGAGTTCAGAGGAGACACAGGCTGGGAAAAGACTGTGGCTGTTGACAGATACAAACCCTATTTGTGCTGTCACTGCATCGGATCACTGATCAGATACTGCAGTGATTTTGAACTCCATACCACTCCCAGTTTGATGGAGAGAAGGAAGAGAGTCTGTCCCTCTAATCTAGGCTGATCCAAGCACACAGCACCTCACCACAGCTACCGACAAGCAGCAGCAAGCCCCAGCGTGTCCTCTGGGCTATGCTTAACAAGTCAGCAACGGCCAAAGAAACTCTCGGACCTTGCTGTCCCCAGACACAGCATTCTGAGGGAACAGGACACGCCGCTGGTACGTGACAGCTGTAAGCTCTTGGTGCAGTTTAGAGCACAGCATTAACCATTGTGTGTGGCTGTCTGGCTGTGCACTGACACAAACAGTGCTGACTGTTTGCAACAACCAAGTATTTTAATCCTCCCGAGTGCTCAATGTGTGCAAACAGCATGGGCAGCTACAGCCGGTAGAGCCAGAGAGCAGCCACGGCTCAGTGCAGCACTGGGATCAGGCCACGTCTGCTCTGCAAGGCCTGTCCCTGATGCACAGTCACTGACAAACCCTCTGAGAGCCTCTGTACCGAACCCCAACAGCACAAAACCACAGCACGGCTCTCCTCGGACGAGTGCTCACCTTGAAGGCGCTCTCGGCCTCCATGGAGAGCAGGTCCCCGTCAAAGGGAATGAGGTCCAGGCTGTACTGCTCGCGGTGGATGAAGGACCCCAGCACGCCCTGCTCCTTCAGCCACTGCTCGCACAGCAGGCTGCGGCGCGGCACGAACAGGATGTGGAAGTCCCTCTGGGGAGAGCGGCCTCTGTCCTCTCTGCGGAGTCACAGCACAGGTAACAGCACAGAGCATGGGCTGCGGGCACGCAACGCCAGCGGAACGGGAACGCTGCATGTGGTTGTTGTTACCCATTTCAGCTACTAGCCCTGGAATTGTTTACCGCGTGCACCCACAGGACTGAACCCCGGGCGAGTCTTTCCTGCGGTTCTCTTCAATCAAAGCACACATCATTCCAGCTAATCCGAAGGAACGTGTGCCTGCCCGCAAGGAATGACCCCTGCATCATGACCCAAAGTGACACCCGCTGCGGCGCCTCACACCCCAACCCGAGCCCTGAGAGCAGCCGCGCTGCAGCCTCCTTCCAGCCCAGAGGTGACAAACCCGGTGCGGCGGCTCCAGGCCCAGCCCGCGCCCGCCGTACCTGAGCACGTTGTCGGTGATGATGTCCATGAGCTCCAGCCGCGGCCTCACGAAGAAGATGATGTTCTTGACGTCGGCCTGGGGCAGGCGGCCCGGCTTGAGCGTGAACATCTTCTCCACCTCGTGCTCCTGGGCGGGGGGGAACCGCGTCAGCTCCAAGCGGCCGCAGCACCCGCACGGCGCGGAGCCCCCCCCCGCCCCGCCTTTACCTTGAGCAGCGAGTACTGCGCGATGAGCCCGAAGGGCCCGGTCAGGGACTCGTCCCACACGATGGCCTGGGGGGGGGGGGGGGGAGGGAAGGGAGCACGGGGGGGGTCAGAGCGGTCCCGCCGCTGCCCCTCCCCCCCCCGGCACCCCTCCCCTCCCCCCCCGCACCTTGCTCCCCGCGCACTTGTCGAGGAACTCGCGCAGCTCGCGCCGCCCCGCCTCGCGCAGCGCAGTCAGGTTCACCCGCCCCGAGCTCAGGTGCGCCGCCATCGCGGAACCGCCGCAGAGCTCACGTGATGACGGCGGCCGTCACGTGACCCGCGTCACGTGACGGGAGCAACGCGGAGCCTGCGCGGCGGCACAGCGCCCTCTGGTGGGTGATCCCGTGTTCTGCACCGAATCTGTGCAGCCTGGCCGGGATGGGGCTGCCAACTAAAACTCTTCATGCAGCTACAGAATGCATGCGTATATACACAGAGAGAGAGGAAAGAGCTGCTGTACACGACAGCCCCTCCCGACACCTCTGCAATTTCAGCATCGCCTTTTCCAGCAGGTATTTCCTTCCAAAGGGAAACCCAACATCATTTATCAGGCAGGATTCTAAGGGAACCACCCTTAGAGTAAGGAACCTCTAATTCCTCAAGCTTCTGGCTGGGGTTTGGAGGCAGCAACACTCCAGTCAGCCATTCCCATCCCTCAGTGCTGCTAAGGCTTCTCTGTTTACTCACAGGTCACCTGTGTCCCACGTGGAGCACGTCCCCTTCCTGACAGCACCAAAAGGTAGGAAAGAAAACACAGTTCCTCCTTTTTTTCTCCAAAATATAACTTTAATATATATCTGCATATTTACACACACACATCACGCACACGCTAGAGAGAAGCTGAAAGAATGCAAACCATGAGGGGTCCCACACCAGAGCGGGGCGGAGCTGCAGCCCCACCACAGCAGCTCCGGTTCTTACCTGCTCCACGATTCACATTCACCAAACCACGGCCCGGAGCTCACGTTCACTGAGCAAAATCACAACCACAGGAGTCAAGGAAAACAAAGGAAACGGTTCTCAAACGCAGTCCAGTGTCCAAGAAAAAAAAACAGCTTAAAAATCTAAATGTACAAATTCAGCCTTAAAATGGTTTAGTGCAAATAGGAAAATTAACAGCATAATTTTAAGGTATTTAAATAAGCTTTAATATAACTATAGTGCTTCATTCCTATACACGTTTTCCCATCAATAGATGCAACAGCACGAGGGCATTTCTTGTTAAGAGTGGGGACAAACCCAGAACCTGGGAAGAAACAGCATAAAGTCATTTGTTAAATCATTTATTTATATTCCACTTAAAAGTTTGTTAAAGGGAGATCTGGGGCACTGAGTAGTGGAGGAGCGAAACAGTTATCAATGCACTGAGCATGGAGCCGATGGGCCAAGGGGAAGGGGAGCGGGAGGGGCAAAAAACGTCGTCCCTTCCCTGCCCTTCAGCACAGGGCGATGCTGGTGGTGGTCAGTGGCTGCCGAGGGCTCGCTCCGGCCGTCAGAAGGTCTCGTCGTCGTTGCAGTCGGCCGTCCAGTGCCCGAACACCTCGCAGGTGTCGCAGTAGGGCCGCTCCTCCCTCCTGCTGCCGTGGTAGGCGGAGTGCGGCGGCTCCTCCAGCATCTGCGCCTGCGTCGGGCAGTCCTCGGTGTCGTGAAGGTCGAAGCAGCCGCAGATGTCGCAGAAGAGGCGCGGTTTCTTCTTGGACAAACTTTCCTCCTCGCTGCAAGGGCGGCACCGGCACAAGTCAGGCAGGGGGCTCATAAGGGTGGAAGGCCTGAGTCCCTCCCCTGCCCGTTACCGAGACCAAGGGAACGCCGCAGCAGTCAAGCAAGACCATAAATCACCAAACCCCTTCTGAAGATCTTCAGACAGCTCAAGTACCCCATAACCCCTTACACTGTGACACTGACTGAACAGACTGCTCCGCTGGTGTATTTGCACAGATACAGACATTGTTTAGAAAAGAATCACACAAACTGGTTGCTCTTTCCCTTCAGAGGGCAGATCTGAGGTCACGATCCATCAGACAGGTTTTAGTGCCATTTCTCCAGACTGGATCTCCCCCTCTCAGAGTAGTTACTGGACTCCTGAGAGCAAAAATGCTCCTCCTCAATCTGGAAAGGGCCAGACGTAACCGTGACTGACAACAAACCTGTTATGATACATCAGTGCTTGTGACTGATAACCAAAGAATCATTCTGGGCCTGAAATAGGGCTGGATGCAATTGCTAAATTCAAGGGCATGCTATGATTTTCCTTCCCAGCAGCTGCCACCAGGCTGGCGCAGCTCAAATCTGACTGCTACCAACAGTTCCCAACTCAAGCCAAGGTTTCCTGTAGGATTTATACCTGTCGTAGTTGTTTATCTCCTCTTCGTTGCCGTTGAGGGCTGCTTCACACATTCTTTGTATTTTCAAGTTTAATTCTTCGTTTCTCCTCTGCAGATCCACTATCACTGAATTCAGGAAGTCGATCTACGATAGTCAAGAAGGAGTCAGCAGGTTGAGGACTCAGCTTCACAGAAACCAAGCAACAAAGCAGTAACCCTCAGACTGACCTCCACAGCCCTGCATTAACTCTTACCACTGGACTGCTGGGTTACACAGAGCTCCCACAGACAGGACACAGGAACATCCCAAAGGACCTCCAAGACCCCCAGCACGATTTCCACCCGGGGAGCCAGGCTCTTCCTCCCAGCCAACCCCTCTGACAGCCTTTGGTGGGTCTCAAGCCACCCCTGACCGCTCGACTTCCTTTTCTAAGGTACATTTTAAACACAGATCCCATGTGTAATTCTGATCAGAACCATGTCCCTGCTCCCCTGAGCCTGCAGCTCTGGTGGATACCCCTGGAGCCATCCCAAGGGGCAGTGGGACAGCACAGCACACCCATCAGCATCGCCCACAGAGATCGTAAGCCAGAGCATTGCTGAACGTAACTGAGCAATGCAAACCTCACACAGTGAATACGAGAAAGGAAGCCAAGAAGTGGCACAAACCTCGTGCTGATTGGGAGGAAGGGTTGTCACCAGCAGGGGAATTCAAGGAGGCAGAAAACCAGAAAAAGATTGGTGGTTAGTGAGCGTTAATTACAGACTTCTGATCTCTGCACGCACTAGGAAGGACATCAGGGATCTAACAAGGACTTCAGTCACGAGCAGAAGGTGCTTCTATTCCAACCTCGTCTCCTAGGCACTCGTCGTCACAGGCTGCCTGTTACGTGGCAGCACTTCACAAGTTCATGATCATACTCTGACACACATTGCTCCTGTTACCCAGCACGTGTGAACTGAGCAGCTTCCTCGCTCCACTGCATGCACAGACCCCCGTTCTGAGGGAAGTTCTGCAGGTCAGCGGCAGAGACCAACATTTCCAACTGCAGGAGCTCAGCACAGGAGCTCAGCTTGCCCATTCCCCAGCACTGCAGGTTCAAGTGGCTCCCACCTCATTCCTCATTCACACCCAAGAAACCCTTGGAAAGAATCCAGGGAGCAGCTCCACCAATGGGCTGCACACCAGAGCCTGCCACCCTGCTTTCCTGCTCACCTCCTCCAGTCACCAGAGCTACCTTCCCCAGTATCCCTCATCCCTCAGTTCTTATTATTCCCTGTCATTCATATTTCCCTTCAGAAGCAGGTGGTTACAGGATAAATCATCCTGATTTACAGAAACTGTCAGGAACTGTCTTTGGAAAAGCATCTCCCATGCCTGCAGACGCGTGGCTGGTTTCTTGTGCTGCTGTTCCACGTCACATACCTGCTTTTCCTTTGCGATCTCATCTTGCAGTAGATTAGCAGCAATGTCACCTTTAAAGGAAAAGAAAACCAAGCTATAAGATGACACACACAGTGCTTGAGCCAGAACTGAAGTCACGTTAATCTCTAGTCCTACTCTGATCACTCACTGTAAGGCCAGGGTGACTTTTGGGGGGAACTCTTTTGGCTGCTGCGTATTAAATACTGCACATTACTTATTAAATACATAAAACGTGTGCGTAGGTGACAGCTGAGGTTCACAAACCCACGGGGGAACGCTCCTCTGCTGCTGAGATGGATGGAGCTCAAGAAGCTCAACATAAGACAAGGATGAGTGGATGAAGTGCAGGGGTCTCATCCTGTGCCCAGGTAGGTGGTTTTGGTACGGTGCCTACACAGCACCCAGGATCAGCCTGAGAGAGGCTCTTGCACAGAAGCCACACCATGAACAGGATAAAGGTTTATGGCTTCTGCACATGATTCATTTCAATTCAGATCAACCCCACCCCAGTGTCAATGGGGTTCATGGGCAGCTTTCACTCCTTCAGGTTTCCTTCACGCACATCTTAGGTGCGTCCTACAGGAGGCAGTCCCTGTCTCAGGAGGTTCAGCTGCAGTTAAGGCTCCTTTCACCACCTGACAGCAGGGGCAAAAATCTACAAGGCTAAAGCTGCAGGCAGAGAGTCTGTGGAGAGGCCGCTCTTACCTGAGGAGCCCACTACAGTTAAAGGCTGCTCGTTGTTCTCCTTGAGCTTTTGCTCCAAGCTCTTCACCTTCTCCTCCAGCTGCAGTTTGTCAGATTCCAGCGACTTCACCACCGACTGCAGGGTTTTCGCAGAGGCGTTTTCCCCGCGGAGCACCGTGATCTGTGAGGAATGCCCGGACATTCCACAATGAGCTCAGGGCACCAGGGCAACGTCCTTCATAGCAAGGGCTGAACAACCCCCGCAGGTACAGCTGGAGCTCACCTAACCAGGCCCAGAGATCTGATGCTGAGCTTTAAATATGCTACATTAATAAAGACATCAGCCAACCCTTCAGTAGCCAGCACACAAAGCTCCATCCCTGGCGGTGCTCAAGGCCAGGTTGGACAAAGCCTTGGGTAAGATGGTTTAGTGTGAGGTGTCCCTGCCCATGGCAGGGGGGTTGGAACTGGATGATCTTAAGGTCCTTTCCAACCCTAACCATTCTATGATTCAATATGCTCCTAGCCATAACTCGGTCTGAAATGAAGCAACATCTCACTGTTGTCACTTACCTCGTTTCGGAGTTTTTCCAGTTCCTCATCTTTCTGTGTGATCAAGGCACTAGTAACATTGATGGATTTCTGTAAAGATGCTCTCTCTTCATCAATTTCTTTCTGTAATGTTGATTCTCTAAAAGAAACCCAAATACAACCAGAAATCACCTAAAGAATGGATTACTGTGGTACCTTAAAGAAGTCTAATTTAATTCCAAGTAAAAACAAACCCCTAAGTTAAAGCACAGTAGAAATAAACCACTGTGAAGTGGTTCTTAACA